TATTACCTATACTTATATATTGTAATATGCAAAAAGCTTGAAATTGTCAATAACAAAAAAATTAAGTAAGAGTTAATTACCGAGAAGCGAGGCATTTAGCCATATACAGCCCGAGGCGCGTAGCGCCGAGGGCTGTATATGGATAAATGCCTCGCTTCTCGGTAATTAACTCTTACATAATATACATGATAAAATTATGCAGTCACGTGCGTAAGTCACATTTAGAAATTATTTTTTGGTGCTGTATTTCTAAAAAATTGCACTGCTGTTAGCCAATCAGAATTGAGAAATGTTTTCATGTATATTATTATGATAGAAATTAAAGTGAGAACTAACGATCTCCAAATTTGATTTTTTCTTTTTCTCTTATTACACTGAAAAGATGGAGTGATTGGGACTTCAAACCTGCCTTGTTTAGCTGCATTCAATCTATCCACAAGGTTTCAAAATTGCCCGTTCATTGGTTTTACCCACGTTAGTACTTGTAAATTAAATTTTCTTTTTTTATTGATTGTGAGGTTCATACATATCCGTAGTTTTACAGCTTTTCAAGTATTTTTAAAACAGTTGAAAAAATACACTATTCGGAAGATAGGCGCTATCGTAAAACCGGTCCCTGGCGGCGTCCCTGGAAATGGCAGAAATGGGCCAAACAAAAAATCATAAAAACCTCTTACTAATAATGACACTGACAATACCTGTTGCAATATAATTTGGTTCACTCGGAAACCAAGCCAATCCACGTACGACTGAATTATGGGCTTGAAAATGAGAGATAGGGAATATGCCTAAATGATGAAAATTAGATTATAAATGATATAAATCTCCTATAATCTTAATCCTTCAACCTATGCTTCAAAATTTATTTGTTTTCTACAGTATGTAAAGCAGGGCAGTATGCTTTCATTTTGCTTTGGTGGTAGTCACCACTCACCAAGTCAAATGGGCCATTCCATCGATAAATAGCCCCACTATTGAGGTCTGGATATCCTATATGGGGATTTTAGTGAGGGGGATTTTACCTTAAATTTTTCTGGAGGGTAGCTTAAGAGATTTCAAAAAAATTAGGTGTTTTAGTGATATCCAAAGAGGCAGGAACAATATCCTAAAGGGGTAGAAAGATATCCATGGGGGTTCCAAAATTGCATCCAATGGGGTTCCAAAATGTTTAAGGTAATAGTATTATGAAGAGACCCCTCAATAGGGTGTGGGGGGCTATATTAAATGGAATTGCCCAGTGTGCTGCAACAACTTTTAAAATTTGTATATATGTTTTTAAGGCACAATATGTGATGGAGTTTGATATGATGATCAGCACAACCTGGATGTCTTGACTGAATGAACAACTTATGTGATATACTCCTAGTTCCAATACTTTGCTGTATATTATCACCAGCTCAGATGTCAGTCGGATCACTTTGAATGAACATTGGAGTGGCACAATAAAGTGTCTGTATTAGGGTGGAGTCTATAATTAAGGACTGAAGTAAAAGGCACACTTTTGGATATTAATTTGAATCATAGCAACTACATATACTGTAGGTTTCAAATAAGTTTGAACAATGAACAACTGAAAATAAAAATTTATTTGATTTGAAACACTCAAAGGAATTACAACATATTATATGATAGTCATATGTAC